TTATCGACTTTGATAGTCCAACCGACTCGTAGGAGAGAATCAAGATGGAGCAACGGACGGATGCAAAACCGATCGAAATAAAACAGAGTATAGAGGCCGGAAAGGAGTCTATTTTTGAGATGGATGATAAAGGCATAATTAAATTTAAGGAAAGGTTGTGTGTTCCCTCGGTGGAGGACTCGAAGGAAGAGATACTAAGGGAAGCACATGCAACTCCATACTCGATACACCCGTGAAGCACAAAAATGTATCGGGATTTATGAAAATGTTATTGGTGGCTCGGAATGAAGAAAGATGTGACAAGTCATGTAGCAAGATGTCGACTTGTCAACAAGTGAAAGCGGAGCACCAAAGACCCTCGGGAACGTTAAAACCGTTGGAAATTCTAGAATGGAAATGGGAGCACATAACTATGGATTTTTGTCATGGGATTGCCAAGGTCGGAGAAGGGGTTAGATGCTATTTGGGTGATTGTGGACGAAGTTGACCAAATCAGCCTATTTTCTTCCAATCAAGACCACCTACAATTTGAATCAGTATGCCCGATTGTACATTGATGAGATCGTAAGACTACATGGGATTTCGATCTCAATTGTATTGGATCAAGATCCAAGTTCACCTCTCGTATTTTGGAAGAGTCCGCATAAAGCCATGGGCACGAAGCTAAACTTCAAGCACGACTTATCATCCTCAAACCGACGGACAATCGGAGCGAGTAATTCAAATTCTAGAAGACATGTTGCGAGCGTGTGTTCTGGATTGGTCCGGAAAATGGGAGAAATATGTACGCTTAGCTGAATTTGCGTATAATAATAGCTACCAAGCTTCAATTGGAATGGCTCCGTATGAAGCTTTGTATGGACGTCGATGTAGATCTCCCGTGCATTGGGATGAGGTTGGAGAAAGAAAGTTGTCGGGACCGGAGTTGGTACAACAAACGACCGAAGTAGTGCATAAAATTCGTCAACGACTAAAAACAGCTTCAAAGCGGACGTAAAAGCTACGCCGACAAAAGACGAAGAGATATAGAATTTGAAATCGGTGACTATGTGTTCCTAAGGGTTTCACCGATGAAAGGTGTGCTACGATTCGAAAAGAAAGGAAAGCCGAGTCCCCGATACATTGGGCCATTTTAGATACTCGGATCGAGTAGGCGATAAAGCATATCGCCCGTTGCTACCATCATCCTTAGCAGGTGTGCATAATGTGTTCCATGTTTCTATGCTAAGGAAATACGTTGGAGAACCTAGCCAAATCTTGGAGACAAGTAATACCGAACCTTACCCCCGACTTGACATATGAAGAGAAACCAATCCGCATTTTGGATAGTCAAGTCAAACAAGTTGAAGAATAAGGAGATTAGGCTAGTTAAAGTTACGTGGGAGAATCACGATCGTGAAGAAATGGCGTGGGAGCCGGAGGAAGAGATGAGACAAAAATACTCGATATTATTCGAATAGGTCAATTTCGAGGATGAAATTTCTTTTAAGGAGGGGAGAAATGTAACCCTCGTAAAATCCGTAATCGTATAAATATACGTATCGAGATATTTATATTCGTACGTATATACATATATAGTATATCGGTTATGTACGTGAAAATCAGTAACTGTGTCAACATATGTACTGGAATATGTGGTATGTACATATTTGTTGAGAGTAACGGGTGCATGTCAATATTTATATATAAAAAAAAACGTTGGGTAAATTAGTTAGAAAATTTCTTTTATATGGAATAAGTATAAATTAAAAAAAAAGAGAGAGAAAGTGCTAATTGTCGAAATTTCGAGAGAAATTCTGAAAATGTAGTTAATTTAATTACCCTCATTTAATCACATTTTGGCCCCTACTTTCTACAAATTTTCATTGACCAAGCACCTCTTCTTCCTTGAAATTTACACCCATCATTTCATTAATTTCAACCACATTTACCTTGCATTTCACCACAAGCTTTTGACACTTGTAATGAACATTGAATGGATGAGATTAGGTGAGATATTTAAGTAAGAAAAAATGGGATAAGGATGCATTTTGGTGCATCCTGTAGCTGCCTTAAAACCAAGAAAGAAAGAGTCAAAGAGAGGGGAGAAAGAGGAAAAAAGGGAAGGAAAAAGAAGGGGAAACTAAAAGGAAGCAAAAGAGATTTTAGGAAAGTTAATCCAATGTAAGTAGGTTTCATTTTTTTCTTGCTTTGTTTATGCTTTCCATGTTTATTTTATGAGTTATTTAATTCATGTGAAATGTGATTATGGTATTTGTGATGATTTTAAACACTTGATGTTTGATGATGGATGGTTAAGCATGTGTGTTGAGAAATGTGCTTTAAGAGAAGATTTTCGGATTTTAGGGGTGGAAAAACCAGAACTTGGTGTGATTTATTTTGGCATCTTAGAGTGATTTTTAGAACAAATGCAAAGAATGAAAGTTGTTGATATACGTGTCTACTATTTTCCTTTAACATTTCGTGACTTTTAGAGATATATATATGGAGTTATGACTGAATTGGTATGGATCGTTCGGATGGAACCTCTACTGGAAAAATATTTCATTCTGAAAGTTGTGCGATTTAGTTCGGGATCATAGAGTGGTTTTTGGGCAGAACTCAAAGAAGGAAAGTTGTTCATCTATGTGTCTACTATATGTATCTAAAATTTCATGATTGTTAGATCTGTATGTAAGGATTTATGACTGATTTGGTATGGGTCATTGAATGGACCAGCTACAGGAAAAGTTTATTTAGTTCCGACACTTGTGTGAATTATTTAAGGCTTTTAGAATGATTGTTGGAGGAAACTTAAAGAATGAAAGTTTTTTATCTATATGTCTAATATCTCCCCGTAACATTTCGTGAGTTTTGGATATATATTTAAGGAGTTATGGCTGGTTTGGTATAGGTTGTTTAGGTGTGCCACTGCTGGAAAATTTTAACCTAAAATAAATGGACTTGTGCTTGGATTAAAATAAATGGGCTTGGATTTAAAAATAAAGTGGACTTAGATTAAAACAAATGGACTTAGACTTGGATTAAAATAAATGGGCTTGGACTTGAGTTAAAATGAGATGGGCTTGGATCTAAAAATAAAGTGGACTTAGATTAAATCAAATGGACTTGGACTTGGATTAAAATAAATGGGCTTGGACTTGAGTTAAAATGAGATGGGCTTGGATTTAAAAATAAAATGGACTTAGATTAAAACAAATAGACTTGGGCTTGGATTAATGTTAATGGGCTTGGACTTAAATAAAATAAACTTGGAAATGGACTTGGACTAAAATCAAAAGGCTTGGTTTTAAAGTAGATGGGCTTAGACTAACGAAAATGGGCTTAGGCTAAAATAAGTGGACTTAGATAGAAATAAAAAGGATTTTAAAATTTTAAAGAAAATTTATTCTTTCATAGAGGAAAAAAAGAATTGGACTTTTTTTAATTATTAATGAAACTAATAAACAATATTAATGAGCGGAGGTTGTGTTCCCGCTATGAGTACCATGATTGGTATGTGAGTGCCGAGTGAATCCCGAGTGATGGTTGGACCGTGAGTATGGCTTGAGAAAGAAGGGCTGGTACCCGAGTTTGGTTGAATGTGATTAAACATGTCATCACGTGCATCATGTGCATTGGGGGTGGAAATAAATTGAGAAAAATCATTGAGTCTTGAATTGACTCGGTTTGGTAACCGAATTGAGTGGATTGGGTAATAGCAAAGAATCCATAGTGCGAGCTCTATTTACTAACACCGTTAAGCGAGGGATAATTCCGTTAACCGTGTGGTACAATGAGGGATAATTCGTTACGAGCAGTAGGTGATATTGAGATCACCGAGAGAAAGTAATAGAGCGATAGGTGATAACACGATCACCGAGAGATTGGGCGCACGGACTTGCATATACCTAGGGTACCGGATTAAAATGGATGAAAATATGAGAAACACAATAGCACCGCATATCACGTGCATCACCCTACTTACCGAGCTTTGGCTCATTCCGTTATTGTATTTGTGTGTTGTTCGGGCAAGGGCAAAGTTAAGCTCGATCGAGGATGCTACCGGTTCTCGTTAAAAGAGGCTCATGTGTCACTCATAAAAATAGGAATATCTTTTGTGTCAATAAAAAGGGGTACGGGCCTAGGTTGAAAATTTTTAGGCATTTTGAATATGTTTTAAATTATAGACTATCCGTAATAATGTTGTAAATTATATTATGCGTTTCCCATGGTTTAGTTTCGTTGTGTATGATGGAGGAAGTAGGGGACTTAGTCCCAACGAGTGTGTCGTGTCGGTCACGCCCGTTAGGTAATAAGTAAGGGAGCCGGGGCTTCACATCTCCCCCATTTTCTATCTCATGCACGTGCGAGTCAAATACATATTACATATCTTAATCTGGAATTCCTAAATTGTGTCGGATATATATATATATATATATGTGTGTGTGTGTGTGTGTGTGTGTGTTTTTTATGTGTGAACAATGAAAGAACACAAACTCGGACTCTACAAGCCAACAAGTATATGCCGATCCCGAGCCTCCAAAACGTAAAAGCTAAATTTTAAAGTAGCAACTCATCCTCGTGAGCTCGAAACTATATAATAATAATAATGTCGCTTGATCCAAAAAATCTCCCACGATTTCCGGCATACTCCAACCAATCTCTTTACAGTATTATTTCTCAAAAAGTAACGCACACGCCATAGAAAAACTTGTATGATTAAAAAGAAAGAAGGAAAAAATTTGTAACAAATACTCTAGTTTGATCAATGAAATTTCTTCATTCATCGGAAAAGAAGAAAATATATATATTAAATTGACACCCAATTCATAAATCCAACATCCCATTTTATCCAACAATTTCTTTACATGCATGGACACAAGGTATTATTATAGCCGAACCAAAATTTCTATCCAATCGCTAAACCATATCAAAAAATTTATTACCTTTCCAATTTCTTGCTAATCCAAACTTGTTTATTACACAATTTCAAGGTGAAGACCCCCAAAGACCTTCAGCTATAATTGTAGCAACCTCGAGCATCGAAGCAAAAACTTCCCTTCATTCAGTATCTCTTGCTTAAATGCCCTCCTCTCTCTTTGCCTTAGCCCTTCTCCTACCTCTAATTGAACCGCAAATCTTGCCACACAATCGGCAAATGGATGACTCTCTAAAACAATCTTCTCTCCTTCACCATTCTCTCTCTCATGATCTAAAATTCCCATATCAATCAAATCCCCACCAAGTTCTAATCTTTGCAACTCCACTAGCTTCTTTATCAACCCTTCTTTAAGCATAGCTTCAATTGCCTCTTTTTGGCCGAAATAGCCAATTTCAAGAATGCAATCCATTGCTACGGCTCTAAAATGCAAGTCTTTGTAATCCAAGAAGCTAATGATTTTTGGGATTTCGCCATTAGATTCAATCTCATCAACAAGTGGTGATTTTATTGACTTAATGAGTGAACAAAGTACTTTGATTGATTTCTAAGAAGCCATTGAGACAAGACCATGAATCAAACGACCCATCAACACTTGACCAACAAAAACATCCTTGTTGAATTTAATCAAAGTTGAAACAACAAAAGCACATTGTTCTCTTACCTTTTTTGAGCAACTCGGGATCCCATACAATTTTCTCAAGTAAACAAAAAATATTTGATTTAAGCACCAAGTCTTGTAACTCACGATTAAACCCTCGTGAAACTCGATCTTCAAACCGAATCAACAAACTCACCAACTCATTTTTCGCAATTTGCAACGACTTTTTCAAACCTTTCATCAAACTTTCTATATTTTCATGATCAATCCAAGCTTGAATCTCTATCTCGTATCGACCCAAGCAACTCGGGAGATAGCTCGAGTCGAAACTCGGCCGAGTCAAGAAACTCCGAAGTCCATGCCCATAGCTTTGCTCTAGAGTGGCAACATGGGATTTGAGGGTAGTAAGGTGTTGAGAAAGGGTAGAGAGATGTGAGTCTTTGGAAAGAATTGTATCTAATTTAGTCTCGAGCTCCAACGAAGGGAACGACGACAAGGGCAAAAATGGAAAAAACAAAAAATAAATCGCTTTCCTTCCATTTTTCTCTCCGTTTCCTCTCAATTTTAGGAGGAAAATGGGTCCCACCATTTTTGCATTCTTTATTATTATTTTTTTTCATTCCACTCGCTTTCCTTCCTCTTCCCAAACAACGAAACATTTCTTTTCTACCCATTTTTCTTTCCTCTCCCCCACTTTCCATCCTATCCAAACAAGGGGTTAGATTTTGCAAGAGTAAATGAAGATTTTGCAAAAGTTCATTTTGATTTTTAAATTTTCTTCAATAATTTAGTTTAGTCTATATATTTTATTTTCTTGACATTATAGTCCTTACTCAACCAAATTAAAAAATAAATGAATGATAAATGGGTAATGGGTAATATAGTAAATTAAAAATTAATTATTTTTATCCTTGGCGTTGGACAATCTTGTTTTACTCCTATGGTTGGACAAGACTTTTTTATTTGAAATAACCATGGACAATATAATGTTTTATCCACTATATATACCATAAATTTCACAACTTACCCTTTCTTATTTAGTATACTAAACACAAACATCACCGAGCATAGATTAAATCTCCTAATAAAAAAAAAATCTAAAGTGACTAATGTAAGAGATGCGGGAGAGATCATGGTAACAAAGACCACTAGAACAAGATCACATCAACAAAGACCGTCGAAGCAAGATTTATCTATCTCAACTAAGGGTAAGCAATATGCTATTTTACTTTAAAAAAAAATCAAACTCGAATCGAATCGATAAAGAAAAATAGCAACTAGCAAACATACACCATCCAATATAAGATTTGAAGTTAAAATTTGATGTGCGTTTTACTATTTTAGTAGCTTTGATTATTGGGTTGTAAATATTACTATTTTGATTGTTAATGACACTAGAGTGTCTCCTAGTACTTGGGAGAATATTTCATAGCCTTAAAGGTCGAAAAAATTCAGCCCATCTATCTTAATTATTTTATTAGTTATTTAATTATTTGGATATTTTTAATGTTTGGACTTAAGGCTAGTTTAATTAGTCCTCATGAATTATGGATTCTTTGTTTTGGAAGGAATGACCAAATAGGTCATTGAATGGTTAAAGTTTGGATCTTTATGGATTAATATTTATTTAGTTCTTATTTTATGTGGAGCCATATTTGTTTTAGGAGTCTAAGTATTATGTGGATCCTTATTTAATTTGCACTAACTTAATTAAATTCCTTATTGAATATGGATTGCATAAAAGTCTAATTAAAGCTAGAATTATTTTTTCTCTTTAATTATGGCACGATCTAGTTTTTGTTGCCTAATTGAACAAGTTTTTCCAACCACTAGTCAAAGTTTCCTAGTTTAGTATTTAAGCATGTTTTTTTTTGCTTTTTAACAAGTTCGGACTTTTGATAAACAAACTTTTGTGAGAGATTTTATCCATAATTTGTGTTCTTTGCATTATATAGGAAATGCCTTTTTATTTTCTTAGAGTGATCAATTAAGGTAGTGCTATGATCATCTATGATAATTCCTTTAGGTGGGTTTATCTATATCCTTAGGCTTTTGGCATACGTATCCGCTTAAGTTCAAGAAAATCTACATAATTAGGTCTTAACTTATAACTTTATTGCTATTATATTGAGACTTGTGTTCATCAATGAATTATATATTACAAGTCTTGAAATGTGGGTTTTGAGGAGTTAGGTTTTTCATAATTTTCCTTAATATTATTTGTGAGTTTCGATCAAGATCGGACAATAGGGTAGGGTTTTTAGTTTGCTCAAAAATTTTGACCACTTATTCTACTAGAGCTAATTTGAATTTAGTTAAATTTTCAAAAGAAACGTACACGAGTATCCTAGGGTTTGGCCTTAGCTAGGTTTCGGCCTTATTATGGTTACTTGAGGTTTTGGGTTTTACATGTGTTTGACTTTTGTGGTTGCCAAATTATTACTTGTTGTTTTTGGCTTGGTGGTTATGCTTTATGGTCTTCTATAGACGATTACATCTATACTTAACCGACATTAGTTTAGTATTAGAGTCAAGGTTAGTTTTTCGAATGTACTTAATTAGTTATAAAGATACCTCTAAGAAAACCACTAATAAATCAAATGACTTATTGGACATGCAAAGTGAGATTGAATGCTTACAATAAAAGAATAGATGAGTGGTGTATGAAGAGCCATAAGGCTAAAGTTGGCTGAAAGTTTAAAGAAGGATAAGAATCCATAGTGCATAGCTATGTGCAATTGACATCTAATCATATAAGCTTGTAGGTATTAGGCTGAAAAATTATCTTTTCTTGCATTCTTTTCATGATTTCGAGAATTTCAAATTATCTTGAAACAAATTTGATATCTTTATTCTCATCTTAGTAACTCGATTTTCTTTTTTCCATATGGGGAGGGTGACCAAAAGGGAAATCAAGGTGAGGTTATGTCTCAATAAGATAGACCATGAAAAAGATAGTCATAGTTTTAGGAATATTATGTTAAGCTTAAGATTCTTGAATTTAAGGAAAAACTTAACTCGGATGATTTCTTAGAGTGGCTAAATATAGGTGATAGGATATTTGACTTTAAAAATACATATAAAGAAAAGAAAATAAAATTTTTTACCATTAAACTCAACTAGGATGCTCTCTTATGTTGGAAAATTTTGAGAAAAATAATGTGGAAAGAGAATTGAAAGTGTTAGGAAATGAATCAAGTAAAATGATAAAAGAGAAAGATAATAAATAATCACATAACATAAGATGTACATGCCTACTCTACGTATGCACTAGAAATTCTTATTAGGTTTTCTAATCAATAACAAATACAAGAGATACTTTTCATATTTATAGTATAGACAACTAGTAGCGTGCTAAACCAATTTTGGGTGGCATGTTAAACCGAGGGCCATATCCACATCGGTCTCTATAGTTTAACAATCTCTCACCTAGAGACCGATATCCAAATAGCACCACCACCTCCTGTAACTTTCCTTTTCCTTAACCAACTTTAAGTCTCTTAAGGGAGTGTCTTCTCGTCATTAACTATGAAAGCCAATTGAGGCAATGCAAAGCCTCGGTTTGTCAATGATAACTACATTGGTCAACATATCATCTAGATTATCCAATCTTAGAATCCTGTTCAAGCATATTATCGTATCATCCAATAACTCTCGGATATATTGATACTTCAACTAAATATGTTTGGTTCTTGCACAAAATAATATTTTCTTGGCAAAGTGAATTGCACTCTAATTGTCACTAAAGAGTTTATTATCATCTTGTACCTTATCCACTTCCTTTAAAAAAGTTTTTTAACTAAACTATCTCTTTACCAGACTTCTAAAATAACCATATGCTCGGCTTTAGTGGTGGAATTACCAACATACCTTTGAAGTTATCATAACAAAAAAATTTCCCTAACCCCTTTTTTTATTATTTTATTTTACTTGTTTATTTTTTATTTTTATTTTTATTTTTACTAATTTTACTTTACATAAGCACATTTATTATTATTATTATTATCGAGTTTTGGTCTCATTTAAATCTTTAGATTTTAGTTTAATTTATCATTTATTTTTTCAATAAAATCAATAATTAAAAATAGGAGACAAATGAAAAAAAGAGAGGTTAACTTCCCTTTTTATTTTACGTTATCGTAAAGAATGAAAATACAAAAAATATGATCAGTTGTTAAAAAAATACAATTGAGGGCACAATTGAACAAATTAAAATAACAAAAATCGAAATCAAGGGGAAAAAAACAAAAGTCGAAATCAAAGGATACAGGGGTGCAATTAAATAAAATTAAAAGAACAAAAACTAAAATCGAGGGATGGGAGGTTGTGATTGCCAAAATTTGAATGAATAAAGGACCAAAATAACCTTCTTTAATGGTCTATTAAAGAAAAATTAAAATACTCGAGGATGATAATTAAAGGAAGGAGTAATCGATGAGATCGATTTGGAAGTTTCCCTAAACAAACTATCGTTCGCTTCAACAAATTATATCATTGTTCACTCCTAAATTTATTCATCATCTTCTACCTAAAGAAGAAAAAATCCAGGTGAGATGAATTCCTAGTTAGCATTCGTACTAGCCAAGAATCATACTTCAAAACACCTACACCAAAATGTTTTTCACAACCTATACACACTACAATAAAAATCACTCCCCATTTCAAACTATCCGGGCCAACTACCCAAAGAGACAAAACAAAGGTTAAGACCTCCCCAAAATAAAACGACGTAAGAAAATCCCCTAGGTTGAGAGAAATAGAGGGCCATGATAAATTGAGGATGAACAAGTGGACAAGAAAGAAAAGGTAAGCAATATAAATACGGGGACTTAGGCTGAAAGAAATAAGGTTTTAGTTTTAGAAAAAAATCAACGCTTTAAGGCCTTTAGCAATTGTTTTTTATTTTAGTATTTAAAAGAAGCCTAGAAGAGAGCAAGGAAAAAATGGAGAAAAGGTTATAGATACTTGAAGGAAATTCGAGAGAATAGGAGTATTTAGAAATAGATGAAGAATAAAATGAAAAAGCATAATTGTTCATTCCTTATTCAATTTCAATTTCAACTTGCCACTACAACACTAAGCTTACTAGGTAATTTCTTTACCCATTATGTATTTCATAGGTTTATTACTCTTTAGCTTTTGCTCTAATAAAAAAAATGAAGATAGTGCCTTTATTACTATCACATGTGATAATCTAAAGCTTTACACAAAAACGGACATCTCGACCTTAGTTATTATCGG